TCTCTTCCCTTCTTCTTTCCTTCCTCCCTCCCTTCCCTTTCCTTCCCTTCCTCCCCCTTCCCTTCCCTTCCTTTCTCTTTCCTTCCCTTCTCCGTCCTTCCTTTCTCCCTTTCCTTTCCCTTTCCCTTCCTTCCACCCCTTCCCCGCCCTTCTCTGTCCTTCCTTCCTTCCTCCCTTTCCCTTCCTTTCCCTTTCCCTTCCTTTCTCCCCTTCCCTGCCCTCCTCTGTCCTTCCTTCCTTCCTTCCAGTTTATTAGGTGCCTTCCATTGGCCCAGTACTGTGCCAGGTGCTGGGGTATAGCAATGAGCCTGACTCTACTTGGGGAATCCCTGCTTTCTCGGGGTGGAGGGTTGGGTGGGAATGCAAGTATTAGACAGATAATGCATCAGTAATCACCGACGTACGCTTGTGATGAGGCCTTCCAAGAAGTGCTGACTGCTCAGCCTGTGTTTCCTGATTCCTGCAGAGAGGGGCTTGTTTGGGTTTTGGCTCAAATTGGGAACCAGCGTGAGCATTCCCTTCTTCCTTAACCTTTTGGAAATTCAGCCCTGCCTGCCTTCGACGTCCCCAGCACTTCCTACTTCTCTGGCTGCTTTCCTGCCAGGACTGTATTGAATTACGTCCTGGTCCCCTCTCACCTTCAAGACCCTGGGCTCCATGAGCAGAGGGATTGGGTCCAATTCATGGAGAATCAAGTGGTGGCCACCTTCTCCCTCCTTTGTGTGTGTGTGTGTGTGTGTGTGTGTGTACATAGCATGTATATATGTATGTATATGTATTTACATATTCACATATGAATATGTTTAAATTAGACCATATATACAAGCCATTTATTTACCTGCTTTTTTCTCGTTCTGTCGTAGACTTCTGCCTAGACCTGTCATAGATCTCCTTCAAAGTTAATATAAATAGAGATTTTTTAAAAGGTTGTCTAATATTCTATTGCAGAGATGTACCTTCTTTGATTTAATCTGTCCTCTGTTGGTGGAGATTCTAGATTATTTCTAGCCGTCACCATTATAAACAACACTGAAATGGACATCTTGTATACACATTTTTTCCCCTCTGTGCTATTACCTCTTAGGTGTAAGTTCTTAGAAATAGGATTGCTGGGTCAAAAGACATGTACATTTTAAGTTTTGATGCAAGTTGGGAAATTCCCTCTAGAAAACTTTGTCAACTAACAGGCAAAAAAAAAAAAAAAATCTCATTGTATTTCTATCTGGCCTTCCATTTTTCCCTGGAGTCGGCGTTCTCCCCCGTTGAGACACTTTGCCTATATCGGTTTGTAAGTGGCCAGTGTGAGGGACTCAGGGACTCCAGGCCTTTGGGTAATGAGGCAGCAGGACAGTTAGGGGCATTATGGGCCAGGGATCAGGGTCCTGCCCCAACCCGATCACCAGCTGGTTAGATGACCTTGGGTGGGTCACTTACACCACAACCTCTTTGGGCCTCAGTTTCCTAACTTTCCTGCAAGAGGTTGATGGGATGCCCTTCCAGGCCCTCAGAAAGCTGTGGCTCCAAAGGTCAGATCGCCTGCGGTGCAGCTGGGTTTCCAAGCCAGACCTGATTATTCAAGATAACGGTCAGAGAATATTTGGTCCAAAATAATCCTCACCCCCAAGCAACAGAGGCCTTAGTGGGCCTGCATTCTCAGCAGGACTCCCCATTCTGAGCTTAGCCAAATGCAGTCTCCTTCGAGGCTGTCCTAGGCCCAGTCACTCGGTTGATTTTCTTCCCAGTACCCATGACTCTCAGAAATGGTTATTTGTTATCTGGGTGACATTTGTCTCCCCGAGAGAACGTGAACTTCAGGAGCCTGGAGGCCGTGGCAGTCAGGCTTGCTGTGTAGCTTGTATGCATGCCACGCACAGTGGGCACAGCCCAGACGGTCAGCAACTACTCACTGGGCAAATCGTGGGGAAAGGATAATTTCTGTATTGGTTTCTTCTTTCAGTGAAAATATCTGTAAATATTAAAGGTAGACCTGGACTGGAAGGCTCTATAGCAGATTCTTACCCCACATTGTTTTAAATCTGTTTTGAGAGACGGGGTTTCACCCCGTTGGCCAGGCTGGTCTCGAACTACTGGCTTCAAGCGATCCGCCCACCTTGGCCTCCCAACTGCTGGGATTACAGGCGTGAGCTGCCGCGCCTGGCCCCTCCTGAGCTTTAACCCTGAAAGGAGCCAACTCCCGGGGAGAGGAGGAGGAGGTCACTAGGTTTACAGTCGTTTGAATGTAAACAGATGTCTCCGGGCAGACGTCCCTAAGTCTCTCTGGCAGTCTCTGTCTTTAACTTCCAAGGCTCATTCTTAATCTGTCATCGTCTATCCCAGGTGCCAGCAGTCTTTGCTGAGACGCCCTGACCATGGGCAAGCATGAAAATATTCATGAAGCATCACTTCCTAACACGCATCTCCTGAATTGAAAAGTAACAGCCACCACCTTTGAGCGTCAGCTATGTGGGGGAATTGTAAACGTGGTGGGTCCCGTTATCCTCTTTCAGCAAATAGGAAGCTGACACTCAGAGAGTGAGACACTGCCTGGAGAGGAGTCAGCAAGGAAGGGAGGAGCTGAGATGAGACCTAGATTTGTGAACGCCCCAAGCCCATGTTCTCCTCTAACACCTGGCTTTCTCAAAGTCTGATCAAGTTGGTTTGAACAGAGCTGATGAATTGTGGTGAAATGTTTGCAAAAGGGTAGGCTTTGGCCGGGCGCAGTGGCTCATGCCTGTAATCCCAGCACTTTGGGAGGCCAAGGTGGGCAGATCACGAGATTAGGAGATCGAGACCATCCTGGCTAACACGGTGAAACCCTGTTACTACTAAAAATACAAAAAAAAAAAAAAAAAGTTAGCTGGGCATGGTGGCACGCGCCTGTAGTCCCAGCTACTCGGGAGGCTGAGGCAGCTGAATCACTTGAACCCTGTGAGGCAGAGATTGCAGTGAGCTGAGATCACTCCACTACACTTCAGCCTGGGCGACAGAGCAAGACTCCTTCTCAAAAAAAAAAAGAAAAAGAAAAAGAAAAAGAGAAGCCTTCTATTTATTCAACATCTACTATGTGCCAGGCATTGTTGTAGGCAGGGAAAAATAAGAGAGACATGGTCCTTTATTCTCATGGGACCCACGCATGAAATAAGAGGCAGACATTAAACAAAGAATCACCCAGAGAGAAGTGCCCTTGTGGTAACAAGGGTGGCAAGTGAGGGAAGATGAGAAGTCTAGGCTGGGGGTTGTCCTCAGAGACTTCCCTGGGGAGGGAACGTCCAACCGTGGCCCTGAGGCTGACCTTAAGGCTTGTCCAAGCAAGGTGTGGGAGAAGGGTGTTCTGGATGGAGGAGGCCGCACGTGCGTGGGGAGGTGCAAGCTGGGAAGATTACCTGGGAGGAAGGCGGGGCACAGGCCTTGGGAGGCCCTGTTTGCCCTGGAAAGGAGACTGCTCTTTATCATTGGAGCCGGGGTGGGGGAAGCCAGGGCAGGTCTGGAGCAGGGGAAGGGATGGGATTCACTGTGGCGACTTCTCATTCATGCTGGTAGCCAGAAGTTCTTGTTAAAGCAAAGCCCTTTTCTGCCCTTTCCTAGAGACTGGGGAAGAAAGGGTGAAGGATGTGAGGGAGAACACATTCAGAGAAATGCAGATTGCTTAGAATTAGATTTATGGGTTTTTGGTGACAGGAGCAGTAACCCAGCAAGTCATGGCCACCGGGGAAACAGCTGGTAGTGATTTTTCTGCATCTCTTCCCTGTTCACCTGGCTGTCAGCCTGGGGTGCCCTTTGGAAGGTTTCAAATGTGTGCTTCAGGCCCACTTGCTAGACCCCTGGGCAGTTGGTAGGAGGGTAAGCAGGCAGCTTCCAGAGAAACTGCCAAACTCACTGCCACCACACCCCTAGGAACCAGCTCCATGCGGGGCCACAGCCATAGCAAACAATGGTAATATTTACCGAGTATTTCTGGAAAATGAGTGCAAAGTGCAGGAAATGCAGTGCAAATTGCTAGAACGCAGTACATTGGCAACACAGGACATTTAATGAGTCTGGGAAGAGAGGTATGAATTTCAGGAAAATGTCAATTGCCACAATGTAAACAAGAGACTTCTCAGTATCTCATTCTCCATAGGACTTCATTTCAGTCTTTGGTTATAACTAGCGCTGTGATTCTTGGGAGAGACTCCATTCTAAGCATCAAGGTTGGGGAGAATTGGAGAATTTCGGGAAGGAGGGGAGTGGGGGTTCCTAATGCATCACAGACTAGCAGAGAGCTTTGGGGGCACTGGCACAGTCCCATTTGAGGAAAGCTAAAACTGCAACTGGGGCTGCTATGCTTCTGTGAAAAGTGTTTGCTACAAAAACTGGACCCATAGGAGGTGCTGTGGTCTGAATGTGTCCCCCAAAATTTATATGTTAAAATCTAACCCCCAAGATAATGGTATTAGGTGGGACCTTTGGGAGGTAATGAGGTTACAAGGGTGGGGTCCTTGTGGATGGGATTAGTGCCCGTTTAAGGGAGAGCCCAGAGTGACTCCTCACCCCTTCCACCTGGTGAGGGTGAAGCTGGAAGGCACCATCTATGAACCACAAAATAGGCCCTTTCCAGGCACTGAATCCTACTTGATCAGCCTTCAGAACTGAGAAATACATTTCTGTTGGTTCAAGGGCACCCAGTTTCTAGGATTTTGCTGTAGCAGCCCAAATGGAGTAAGAGTGAGGGACAACTGCTTACCTCTCACTGGGTTGCAGGTGGGGATGGTATCTTGGCCAGGTAAGGGAAAGCCTGAGGTCAAGGTCAGACAGTGTATTTCCCATCTCACAGAGCCCCATTGCTGGGACCAAGGAGAGACCTGGGAAATAGGCATTGACAGCCTTGTCCAAGTGGTTCCAGGTCGCTCCGCTTAGACCCACTTATTCAGCAGCTCAATCTGTAGTCAAGTAAGCTTAGGAAGCCCAGGACCCATAGGCCACAGGCCAGCAGGGTGCTCACTTGTCCCCCTTCTCTGCAGTTCCTGATGGCCTCCTCATGAAGGTGCTGAGCCAGCGCCTGGACCAGCAAGACTGCCTCCAGAGAGGCTGGGTATTGCATGGCTTCCCGAGGGACCTGGACCAGGCACACCTGCTGAATAGCCTGGGCTACAATCCCAACAGGTGAGCTGCCCCAGCCAAGCCCACAGCCCATTATTCCAAATGAACCCCTGGGTCCCCTCCCTCCGGGGCTCAGCTGAAGGGATCCAGGTTACACCAGCCTTCACGTGTTCCTGAAGTGGCTCATCTCTTATCACCCCCATTCCCACCCACCCCATCTGCCCAGTGGACTAGGAGTTGGGCTTGGGTTCAAATCCTGGCTTTCACTCTCCGTGCTGGACCTGAACTTCCTCATCTGTAAAACAGTAATAAATACCAGTCTTGCCTTCCTTGGGGGAATTATTATACAAATCAACAGATGTTTTCTTCTGCTCTTTTTAGAGTTTGATTTTTACATTTACACCTTTGATGCAGCTGGTATTTATTCTGATGTGAGCATGCAGTATGAGTTGCCTTTATTTTCCCCAAATGGTTAACCATTTGTTCCGAGTGTTGAATATCATTGAATGTTCTGTCTTCCCTCTACTAGTTTGAACTCGAGAGCTCATCACAATTGTATATATCGTGGAGAGCAATGAAGCCCACCCAAGTGAAAGCAAGCAAAGACTTTTTATTCTGAGCTTGCAACAGCAAGGGGTCAGCCACAATTGCTTGGCATTTCAGCAGAGACTCACAGGCAGGCAGTATAGGTGAAAACGTTCTCCTGGAATGTGGGGAAGGGCTTCAGTTCTACCGTGCCCCAGTTTGAGGCTATTGGCTTGGGGGAGCTGGGTGGGATAACTAGAGGCAGGGCATCCTCCATGATTGCTTAAGGGAACATATCTGGCTTTCTCTGGTTGGTTGTACTTTGCAAATGGTGGCAAAAATGAGGGAAGTGGTCAATTCCTGATCAAGTCCTGGCCCTTTGGGGCTGATTGCTGCAGATGTTGTGGTCTGACTACCTGGGCAGGTTGCTGCAGGTTGCGGGTTTCATGTCCTTTTTTTTTTTTTTTTTTTTAATTTATTTATTTTACTTTAGGTGCATACTATATCTGGCATTTCTCCCCATGTTATCCTCCCCACCCTCCCCACCCTCCCCTCCCTCCCCACCCCCGCTGTCTCTCCCCTACCCCCCGCAACTGCCCCCAGTGTGTGACGCTCCTCTCCCTGAGTCCACGTGTTCTCGTTGTTCAACACCCACCTATGAGTGAGAACATACAGTGTTTGGCCTTCTGTTCTTGTGTCAATTTGCTGAGAATGATGGTTACGCCTCTGTTTTTATATATTGTCTGACCATCATCAAACTGCGTGTTTAGTCTCTCAATATACTGGGCCTGTTTCTGAACTTTCTCTTGTCTGAGTGTCTACTTCTGCAGTAGTACCACTCTGTTTAACTGCTCTAGTTTTGTCATATACTGTATTTCAATAGTCAATGCAGGACAAGGCCCTCTCATTACTCTTTTTTATTGTCTATTTTATATATTTATTATTCCAAATGAACCCTATAGTGATTTTATGATGTACAAAAAGAAACTGCCATTGAAATTTTAGCTGGAATTGCCTTATTTTTTCAAATTGGCCTGTGATATGGTTTGACTGTGTCCCCACCCAAATCTCATCTTGAACTGTAATCCCCACATTAGGGAGGGACCTGATGGGAGGTGATTGGATCATGGGGGCGGTTTCCCCCATGCTGTTCTCATGATAGTGGCTGAGTTCTCACGAGATCTGATGGTTTTAAAGTGTGACCCCTCCCCACTTGCTCTCTCTCTCTTTCCTGCCGTCATGTAAGATGTGCTTTGCTTCCCCTTTACCTTCTGCCATGATTGTAAGTTTCCTGAGGCCTCCCCAGCCATGAGGAACTGTGAATCAGTTAACCTCTTTCCTTTATAAATCACCTAGTCTCAAGTAGTTCTTCATAGCAGTGTGAAACTGATCCAATCCGTTCCTGTCTGACATGGCTATACGCATCTTTGCTTCCCAGTGAAAATATCAACACTCTCTTGGAGTTCACACTTCCTATTTTATTTCTGGGTATATTATCTGTTGTTCTTCTTACTGGTATTATAATAAGGTCTTTTCATTCCATGTTTTCTAGATGGGTTTTTCAAGAGTATAGAAAAGACAGTGATTTTGGCTTATTTTATACTCCAGCCACCTTGTGAAACCCTCTTCCTGTTTCAAATAGTTTTTCAGTTGATTATCTGGGGTTTTTCAGGTAGATGATCATGTCATCTACAAGTACCCATCCTTTTGCCTCTTCCTTTTCAATATTTATACTTTTCATTTTACTCTTATTGGGCAGCGCTTTCAGAACAGGGTCAGATCGACAGGGTGATTTTTTCCTGACCTTAAGATGCTGCTGGAACTGCTGCCATTAAGTTGCTACTGGCTTTTGGTGTGAAGTGCATACAATTGGTACGAAGTTAAAGAAGTATAGCTCCATGATTTAAAATCTCCGGTTAATGTTGAGTTGTATCAAGAGCTTTCAGCACCTTTTAGGAAAAATGTTTCTTCTCTTTTTGACATATTGATATGATAAATTATGTTACTAATAGTAAGCTAGTCTTTTGTTCCTATGATAACTGGTTTGGTCATGGTATATTATTCTTTCTTGGTGTATTATTCTACTGCTTGTGGCAGATAGAATTTTGACGCTTATGACCTTTGCCCCCTGCTGTCTTGCCTCTGAATGTTATATTACATGACAAAAGGGACTTTGCAGGTATACTTACGATTACTGATCAGTTGACCTTAAAATGGAAAGGTCATCCCAGACTATCTGGATGGGCCCAAAATAATCACACAAACCCTTAAAAGCAGAGTTCCCTCCTGATTGAGGGCAGAAGAGGAAGTCAGAGAGATTTCTAAGCGTGACACAGCATTGCTGGCTCAAAGACACGGGCCATGGAAAATGTGAGAAGAGATGAGTTCGACCAACAAACAGTGAGCCCCAGGTGAGAACTACGGTTCTGGCTGATACCTTGACCTAAGCCCAGTTAGACTCATACCAGATTTCTGACCTACAAAAACTGTGAGATAATAAATTTGTGTATCTTTCTTTCTTTCTTTCTTTTCTTTTTTTTTGAGACAGAATATCACTGTCCCCCAGGCTGGAGTGCAGTGGCATGATCTTTGCTCATTGCAACCTCTGCTTCCAGGTTCAAGTGATTCTCCTGCCTCAGGCTCCAGAGTAGCTGGGATTAAAAGTATGTGTTACCATGCATGGCTAATTTTTGTATTTTTAATAGAGACGAGGTTTCACCATGTTGGCCAGGCTGTTCTCAAACTCTTAACCTCAGGTGATCCACCCACCTTGACCTCCCAAAGTGCTAGGGTTACAGGCATGGGCCACCATACCCAGCCAAATTTGAACATCTTTAAGCAGCTAAGTTTGTCATGTTAATGGCAGCACAAGGAAATTAACCGGCTGCTGGATTATATTGGCTACAATTTTATTTGTTTTTTTTTGCAATAATATGCATATATAATACAGATTAAAATTTTGCGACTTTCTTGTGTTTTGTCAGGCTTTAGTATCAGTGATGCAATAATTTCATAGATTTTCTTTCTTCCTCCATATATGAGAGAATTTAAAACTCCAGCAGTAACTATTTTTTGGATCTGGTACTTTAGGGCAGAGGTAGGTTGTTAACAATTTGATTGATTTTGTTCATGGTGTTTGGTCAATTTGAATTTCTCTCTTTTCTTGTGCAATTGGTCTCTTCCTAGAAAATCATCCCTTTCCCCTGTCTTTAAATATATTAACATAATTTGAATATCTTGTGCCATTAATTTTTATTGTGTTTCCTGTATTTTTTGCTTTATGTGTTTTGGTGCTGTGTTATTTAGTGCATAAAGGACTCTGTCAGCTATGTGTTCATTGTGACATGTATTATTGATGAAAGTGACCATCAGTGACAGACACTTAATTATCTACCCCAAAATTCATTCTAGGTTTCCTCCTCAATAACAAAAGATTTTTAGAGGAGTACATTGGTATCTGAAAATAAAAGATTTCATTTTCCCGTCTTCTTTACAGCTATATGGAGCCACAACACTAAGTTCTGGCCAATGAGATATAAGCATACAGTTGTGTGGTTCTTTGAGACTCTAGCTCAGCTGGAAGGTGTTAGCTTTTGTTTGTTTTGCCTTTCCTTTCTTCTTGATTTTCCTGAAGTTAATAATCATCTTGCTTTTCCACTTGCCTAGTTTTCTTTGTACCTATTAGTTAACTATTTCCATATCTCCCTATAGCCTTTCAGAACAGTTTCCCACAAAGTTCATCATATGATGTAATCCATTGGTTTCAGGTTTGTTTGTTTGTTTTTTTCCTTGATCACTCCAATTCCTCTCCTGTTTGGACTGTTTTTTTCCCTAGCCTTACTGCATAGTTGATCATCAGTGACTTTTCTTTACTATAATCAGAGGAATTCGCCTTGGCTTTCTTTTGAGTTGGAGTCTCTGTTTCCTGGGTCACTCATCTTCCTTTTATATACACCCTTGATTTGACAAAGCATAACCTCTAGTTGTTTCTCAAGTTAAAAAGATGGTTTAAAAGCAGTAGGCAATTACACCTGTAGCACACATGTTCTAAATTGAAGAAGTCACCCTTCATGCCTGTATACAACAGTCATTTTGGGATTGCCATTCACTACTACACTGAAGATTTTCTTTACCCCTCTCCCATATTTAGATATTTTATTTCTGTATCACATGACTTCCTTTTTCTTGGCTTACTACCTTGTTTTGGTTGAACACGTCTATCGGTGACTTCCTGAGAAAGGGTGTCTGGGAGGTAAATTTGGGGGATCCCTACATATCTGAAAGTGTCCATCTTCATACTTGTTGGATAGATTGGCTGGTTGAGATATTATAGGCTGGAAATGATTTTCCCTTAGACTTTTGAATCTCCAGTGCTGCTAAGAAGTCCAATGCCAATTTGATCCTGATCCTTTGTAGGTGCCTTTTTTTTTCTGTGAAAGTTTGTAGGCTCTTCCCTTTGTCTCCAGGGTTCTGAAGCTTCACAGTGAAATTTCATTATATCCTGCTATAGGTCAAATTTACTCC